AAAAAAAAAAAAGAAAGAAAGAAAGAAAAGAAAAGAAAAATAAACAAAAAACAAAGTTGTCCTCTGACACCCATCCACACATGCCATGCACACATTCAATAATAGAAATAAATAAATGAAATCAACATGATATGAATATATTGTTTGTTTGTTTGTTTTTGTTTTGTTTTGCTGTCACGAGCCATTTCCCCCCAGAAATCATTACAGGAACCATCACCCTGGGGAGTCTGCAGGGAACCTCACACCCATAATAATGTTCTATTGACAGAACCTGCCCCACACCCAATTAACTGTTATCTGTTAACAGAAGGCGCCTCACATTCCAGCTATCCAGGGAACCAGGTGTGGGAACTCGTGACTTCTTGACCTACCTGTCCGAATGTAACCTCCCGGCCTATATGACGAACCTGAACCACCCAGCAAGAATCCAGTTTCCCTGCCCCCCAAGTCCTCATTCAGGGCCTATATAAACAGCAACCATGATCCTAATAAAGGGGGCTTTGACAAATCTGCTTGGCCTCATTCTTCTGTCCTAGCTCATTCCCTTCCAGGTAGCGCCCTTTCAAGACCCTGGAATAACTAGCTGCAGGGTGGGTTACAACCCCTAGACTAGTGACCCACCCAAGGCGGCAACAGTTTGCTTTGTTTTTGAGACAGGGTTTCTCTATGTAGCCATGGCTGTCCTAGAATGTTATATTGACAAAACTGGCCTCAAACTCATACTAATTTTTTTTTTTAGGTAGGGAGGGGAGTGTTTCTCTGTGTAACAACTCTGTCTGTGTGGAACTTGCTCCGTAGACCAGGGTGGCCATAAATTCACAGAAATCTCCCTGCTTCTGTGACCCATAGTAGGGCAGAAAGACATTGGGCAAGACAGTCTGCTACAGGGAGAATGCTGCGAGAGAAGGGCGGAGTCAGAGAGAAGGGCGGAGTCAGAGAGAGCCTAGGCCCAGGAGAACAGGTAAAGCCACGAGCCAAGTGGCAATGCATAGATGAATAGAAATGGGTTCATTTAAATGTAATGGTGAGCGAGTTGCAAGCCTGAGCTATCAGCCAAGCATTTATAATTCTTATTCAGCCTCTGGGTCGATTGTTTGGCACCAGGCAGTTAGGACAGGGAAATGTCTGTCTGTTTACACCTCTGTCCTTGAGTGCTGGGATGAGGGGTGTGGGCCTCACAATGATCTTTTGTCTTTGCCTCGAGTGTTGTGTGCCTTCTTTAGCTATATACTCTTTATAAAAGAGCGACTCTTTTATACCCTATAGAAAAGAGCTACTATAGTTCTTTTCAAAGCCTGGGAAGATGGTTCAGTGCTTAAGAGTGCTTGCAGTCCTTCCAGAGGACCTATTTGGGTCTCAACACCCCAAAGGGACTCACAAATGCTTGTAAATTCAGCTCTAGGTGACCTGGCACCATCTTTTGGACAAGGCACCTACATTCATACTCATGAGCATACATGGACATACATAAATATATGTAATTCAAAATAAAGCAATTTTTTAATATTTGCATTTTGTTGTATGATTGTTTTGCCTGCACATATGTCTGTGCACCATGAGCATTCCTGGTACCCAGGGAAGTCAGAAAAGGACAGATCCCCTGGAACTGGAGTTACAGATGTTTGTGAACTGAACCCAGGTCACCTGTGAAAGCAACAAGTACTCTTTACCTCTGAGTCATTTTTCTAGCCCCTCCCCCAATAAAGTCAATTTTAGAAGAATGAAAATTTAAAAAGCTGAATGGAGGAGGCCAGCTGGGGCAACATTATGAGATGTTTTCTCACAAAAGCAAAACAAAAACCAAGCCAAGTAGAATGGCATATACCTGTAATTTGAACACTTAGAAAGCAGAGGCAGGAGGATCACTATGAGTTTGAGGCTGGGTGAGTCAACTGTCTCAAAAACACAGAAAAAAAATATAAATTATTTAAACTTTTTTCAGTTTCTTTGTTTGCATTTTTTTTTAGACTAAATTTCTTTCTGTAATAGGTGGTCTCAAATTCACAGACATCCACCTGCCTCTGATTCCCTGTGTTCTGATGAAAGGTGTGTGCACCACCATGCCCTGGCCTGGTTTCTTTCTTTCTTTCTTTCTTTCTTTCTTTCTTTCTTTCTTTCTTTCTTTCCTTCCTTCCTTCCTTCCTTCCTTCCTTCCTTCCTTCCTTCCTTCCTTCCTTCCTTCCTTTTCTTCTTTATTGTTGGGGACCAGCCCTGACAAAAATACCTCTTGCCAGGGTAGAGGCCTGGGGATTTAGAAATATAGTAAAGAATACAAAGATGCGAATGAAAATAATAAAACAGAGAAACATAGGCTAGTATCAGGAGGGAGTTCCAGTGAGTACTGAAATTTTGCCCTTCATTTAATTTCCATCTGCTTAAAATACCCCTGAGCCCCAAAAGGTAAGGCAAAAGACTGCTTTACCTGGTCACAAGGAAATGAACAGACCAATTGAAGGTCACAGGCTACATCCATAGTTAAATATTTTGTTGCTAAAACAAAACAAGTCTTGCTCAGACCCTAGATCAAAACATTCTGTGGGCAAACCACACCCTAGGTGGAATCCAAAGTTGCTCCTGAAGGGAACTGGAATTTAGTTGGATCTTTAGACTTTTGCTTGAAGTAGGAACAGATCTACTTCTCTATTCCTGGAGTACTCACCGGCTGTTAGCCACACCTGTTGACAACAACCTTGAGAGAGCAGAACTCTCTTGTAACACCCAATTTTGTGTTACACCCTAGGTACAGTTCGCGCACCCCTGTACCGTACGTGATTCGGGCAAGAGCCTGGAGATTGAAAAGAACACACAGAGAGACCAGGGTTATTCGAAAGGAGATCACCCAAATGCCCTTTATTCAGAATTGGGGGAGTCCTTATCTACCTAACAGCTGTACTCTCTGTACATCTCTGTAATCTCTGCCCAGGCAGGTGGGAAATTACCATATTAACAAAGGAGTAAATGCCCTGCAGCTAACCACCAGGCGGGGCAGGGAGAACCCAGAAACACGCGGGAAGCTTAGTTAGCTGATCATAAACTGTCCCCGCGAATGCACCCCAGGAATAAGGGAGACCAGGGCCCTACACTCTTTGAGCTACTTCTTGGTGGGACCTTTGTTTGAGGTAGAAGCACAATAATCTTGAAGGAACTCTAGGTAAGTTCCAGCTCTCTGACCTTTGGTCAGAACTGGCTCTTATTTTTGGGCCTCCACACTTCCTCCCTTCTTTCATTTTTTTTTTTTTTTTGAGACAGAGTTTCTCTGTGTAACCCTGACTGTCCTGGAACTCACTCTGTAGACCAGGCTGGCCTCCAACTCAAAGATCTGCCTGCTTCTGCCTCCTGAGTGCTAGGATTAAAGGTGTAAACCACTACAGCCAGTCCTAATTTCTGTTTTTAATATAGTAAATACCAATAAATATAACTAGCTAGAAGGACCCACGTTGAGACCCCAATACCCTTTTAAAACACAAAAGCAGGTTGTAGTTGGTACAGGTTTGTAATCCCAACACTGGGAGTGGGGGGGGGGAGGCAGAGAAAGACTTAAGACAAACAGATCCCTAGGGCTCACTGGATTACCAGTGGAAGATCCTTCACTCATAGAAAAATGGTGACTAGTGTCTGAGAAACAATATCCTGGGTTGTCTTCTGGCCTCCACATGCACGCTCAGACCCAGACACTCTCACTTGCGTGCGCGCGCGCGCGCGCGCGCGCACACACACACACACACACACACACACACACCACGAGGCCATATTGTAATAAGCTGGACCAGGTGCAAATGAGGAGGAAAAATACACAGATTCAGATTTGATGGCCATGGAAAAGACCACGTGACTATGGAAGAAGCCACTGGGAGTGTGGCATTGCCAGCTGTGGAAGAGCCAATTGCCCACAGCCATCAAAACAGGTCAACTCCCATGGAACCTGTTCCTGTCCCCTTGAAGGCGTCAACCAAGAGACACTTTGGCTGCTGGCCTCCTGAATAAATCTTCATACTCAGACTTCAGTCTGGGCATGTTCGATTTTGTACTCTCTCAGTCCCACTTTGGCTCTTAGGATTCCTGACTTTGTCCAAGCGCTTAAGTAATCCTCCAGCACCAACCTGTGCCAGGCCTGAGGGTGGGGCAGCTGAAGTTTCCTGGGACAGATTTTGAATGGGGCAGTACTAGAGTGAGTGAATACTTTCTCCTCTTTGTTTTGTTAAAAGATTATCCTGAACTGTTGGTCACGTAGCTTTGCGAGGGCCGGCAGTGAGACTGAGCGAGCTGTGACTCTTGACGGTGGTCAGTAGGAATGTGGGCCGTCTACTCCAGCTCTCGGACTTCACTCTGTGGTTAGAAGTAAATACTTTTGGCTTTAGGCGCCAGTTATTGGGGTGTCCTGGATAAGGCAGGCCTTAAATAGGCATACACCTTTAATCCTAACATTTAGGGGGCTAAGGCAGGAGGATTATCATGGGTTTGAGGCGAGCCTGAGCTATTTAGTAGATTACAGGCAGCTAGTGCTACACAATGGTGAGACTCTGTCTTTAAAAATTAAAACAGAGCTGACAAGAAGGCTCAGATGGTAAAGGTCCCTGACACCAAGCCTGATCATGTAAGCTCAACCCACATGGTAGGAGATAACCAACCTTGACCTCCACACAAATACAATGGCATGTGCCCTACTCCACATAAACATATACATGCACACACAGTAAATAAATATAACATAATATATAAAAAATGAAAACAGTGCTGAGTGTGATGGTGTATCCTTTAGTGCTAACACTCAGGATGCAGAGACAGGCGGATCTCTGTGAGTCTGAAGCCAGGTTGGTCTATGTAGTGAGTTCCAGGCCAGCCAGGGCTACATAGTGAGACTCTGGTAAAGTTAAAAGAAAACCATAAATTGGGTTTGGGGGAGATGGCTCAGTGGGTAAAAGTGCTGAATGCAAAAGCATGAGGATGTGAATTAAAATCTCTAGGACCCATGGAAAGCCAGGCACAGCATTGCATGTGTATATAATCTGATAATACTACAACAGGATAGAAAGTGGAGTCAGGAGACTCTCAGACTCTCCCTGGAGAGTCTGCTGTAAGCATTGGCTAACAACAAAGCCAGTGTCTCAAACAAGGTGGAATGTAAGGACCAATACCTGAGGTTGTCCTCTGAGCTCCACATGTGTGCCAGGGCACACGTGGGACTACATTTTCACACACGAACATGCACACACACATCATGCACAGGCCCACAAAGATTAGTTTTTAAAAAATCAAAGCAGTGCAGGGGCCCAGTGGTAGACCATTTGCTTAGCATATAGGTCTCAGATACTGTCAGGACACACATATAACACACACACACACACAACACTCTTAGTGCAAAGCAAAACAAAATAACGATAAAGAAAATATCCCTGTTAAAATAAAAAAACCAAAACCAAAACCAAAACAAAACAAAAAAACAATCAAGGGGGTTGGAGAAATGACTTAGTGGTTAAAACCACTGGCTGTTCTGCCAGAGGACCTGGGTTCAATTCCCAGCACTCTCAAGATAGGTCACAACTGTCTGTTACTCCAGTCCCAGGATATCCATGGCACTAGGCATTCACATGATGCAGGTATATGTGTGTGCAGGTGAAATACCCATACACATATAAAATCAAATAGAAAATGTGCCGGGAAGTGGTGGCACATGCCTTTAATCCCAGCACTAGTGAAGCAGAAGCAGGCAGATCTCTGTGAGTTCAATGCCAGCCTGGTTTACAGAGTGAGTTCCAGGATAGCCTGTGTTACACAGAGAAACTCTGTCTTGAAAAACAGCAAAAAAAGGGGGGGGGGGACAATCATTTTTCTTCGGGCTCCCAGCTCAAAAAGTGGCACAGAGACTTATTATTAATTATTAATCTTGTCTTTAGCTTTGGCTTGTTTTTAACTAGTTCTTACAACTTAAATAACTCATTTCTATTAAAGCTACATGTTGCCGTATGACTTTTGGCTTTTACCTCTCCTCCTTCATGTCTTGCTTCTTCTTTGTCTCCTCCGTTGTTTCCCCATCCATAGATTCATCTCCTTTCCTCTCTCTCTGCCTATAAGTTCTGTCTCTCCTCTTCCTGCCTAACAATAGTCCCCTCTTTATTAAACCAATCACAGTGACACATCTCCACAGAGTAAATAAATATTCTGGAACATTTTCCCCTTATTGTCTAAATAAAAAGAAAAGGTTTTAACTCAAACATTCTAAAACTATAAACAAGAACAATAATCAGGTCTATTTATATTTGGCATATTCAGAGAAAATACTGTATTTTTATCTTATCTTGGTGAGTCTACTTTCTATCATAACTAAGGAAACTTTAACTATAACTGTCTAATCTTTAATCCCATCAGAGACCCAAAAGGATAGTAACTGAGTAAGGAGGAAGTGTAGAACAAGCAACATCCAAAACTATGAGAAATAATGGAAACAACTGGCTGCCTGGATGGTCACCCAAGTTACCCCTGTAACATTGCGGGCATTCATCTTTGGCCTACAGGCTTAGAATATCTAACAGAATTTTTTTTTAGTAAATCAGGAAATTTTGAAGGATTGTCCTACCCTGTCTTGGTAAAGTTTGGCAGTCACTTTCTTTTGTGTCCTGCTTGCTCAGTTTGGACAGCATACTGTCAGCAGTCAAAGTAAGGGCAGTTTCTTGACAAGTGGCTAGCTTTGACACAATGAAGGAAACTCCATATGGAGTTTTTTTAATGTTCACTATCTTTTTTTTTTGAAGTAGATTGATGCTGACAGAAGCAGATGTGTCTCACTATCATAAAAATCCTTGTTATTACAACATTTTACATGCTATATTTTGTAGGCCTTTATTTTTTAAATATTTATTTGTTTATTTTGTATACAATATTCTGTCTGTGTGTATGCTTGTAGGCCAGAAGAGGACCAGATGCCATTACAGATGGTTGTGAGCCACCATGTGGTTGCTGGGAATCGAACTCAAGACCTTTGGAAGAGCAGGCAATGAATGCTCTTAACCTCTGAGTCATCTCTTCAGCCCCTTTTGTAGGCCTTTAAAGTGTTTGAAGATTACCTATCTATCTAAAATGTCTTTGTATGACATACCTAACATGATTATAAACTTGATTGTTATAGCTTGTATTTTTATTATCTTAAATAGTTTTAAAGGACTAAAACTTTATTTTAAAAATTTTAAAATTAGCTGTATATGTACAATATCTTAAATAAGAGTAAAAAATATATATACAGTATAACAAAATAATCTTAAATTTGTTGTCAGTATACAAAATCCATGCCAATGTAAAATATTTGAGACTAGTGGTTGTTCAAAAGTAGACTCAAGCCGGGCGGTGGTGGCGCACGCCTTTAATCCCAGCACTTGGGAGGCTGAGTCAGGCGGATCTCTGTGAGTTCGAGGCCAGCCTGGTCTACAAGAGCTAGTGCCAGGACAGGCTTCAAAGCTACAGAGAAACCCTGTCTAGAAAAAAAAAAGTAGACTCAATGATTTACCCTTTAATCTCATAATTTATATGCTATATACCCCTTTTTCCTTTCATTAATAGATCCCTGAATATAATTTTCTTTGTTCAGCTTTGTTCTTGATCATGTCCAATAATAATTTCTAAGCAATCTCCTAAACAATAACAAACATCTATAACTCCCCAAATTACCAAAAACCTCTTGGTAATGTGGGTGTTGTATTTTCTATATTGCTTCCTGTTGTCTGGGGCAATGACATCTTTGGGGGACCCTAAGAAAATTTGGATAATAGTCAAGTCCTGGGAGAGCTATCTGTAACATTTGTTACCCAGTCCTGTGCAATGGGGGAAGGACAAGGCTTATCTGCAGTCCTGGCTAGAATAGCCTGTTAGGCTGCACCACCTCCGTCAGAAGCATTGAAGCTGTTCTGGATGCAGAACTCTAAAGAAACTACAACAGAGGCATTCTGAGAAGCTGGATCATCTAGGGCACCCATTTATATTGGTATCTGTTCTCTTTGCTCTGAAAATACTCAAACATTCAAAGGTAATATATATATATATATCTGCATTAATATAAGTATGGACTGTTCACTGTATACAAGCCAGCCAAAGTTGACTTTTTGTTTTATGTTTGAATAGGTAAAATATCCGTCATATATCTTGTAGCTTTTTTAGGGTATATTTCTTTATGTCTGTAGCTAGGATTTTCAGGGGATCTCCCCAGTCAAACCTGATCTCTACCAACCTTGAATGAATTCACAGCCTTATGTTTTTGGTGGAAACAAAAGTTACCTCTTTCCCCACACAATACATTTTTTAAATTTCATTTTAAAGTTAAGGCATTCCTAAAGTATCTAGGCTGTTATAATTCAGCAGTCCCCCTTACAATCCTATGTCTCTCAGGAGCTGTCATTTCCTCATCAGCAATCAAAAAACTTAAAATCAACAAGACACCATATAGGATCCAAACTGAATATTTTCCATCTTTATGTGGCTTATCTTTTTAAATTATTTCATTTTCTCTCTCACTTTCTCTCCCTCTCTTAAGTTTTTTTTTTTTTTTTTTTGTTTTTTTTGAGACAGGGTTTCTCTGTGCAGTTTAGGAGCCTGTCCTGGGACTTTCTGTGTAGACCAGGCTGGCCTTGAACTCACAGTGGTTCACTTGCCTCTTCCTCCCTAGTGTTGGGATTAAAGGTGTGTGCCACCACTGCCTGGCTTACTATTGAAGTTTCAAGTATATCTTGGGATACTCACATGGTGGGGGAGAACCTGACCCCAAGGTAGTTTCTCAGGCCAAGGTTTTTCCATTGTTCTTGAATGTACTGACCCTACAAGCTCTTTAAATGCAGGAAAGTTGACTCCATTGTTTGTGGTAATGAGGAACTTTATCCTTGCTGGTGTGGGAAGTCCTTATGTCTATGTGTTGCTTTTATTAGTTAATGAATAAAGACTCTGTCTTGACCTGTGATAGGTAGAGTAGAGCTAGGCAGGAAAAACTAAACTGAATGCTGGGTGAAAAAAGGCAGAGTTGGAGAGATGCCATGGAGCTGCCAGAGGAGAAAGATGTAAGTCGCCAGACGGACCTTGCTGGTCAGCCACAGCCATATGGTGATACAGAAATTAATAGAAATGGTTTAAATTAAGATGTAAGAGCTAGTCAATAAGAAGCTAGAGCTAATAGGTCAAGCAGTGATTTAATTAATATAGTTTCTGTGTGATTATTTTGGGGCTGAGCAGCCAGGAACAAACAAGCAGCCTCCTACAACACCTTGTCATTCCATATATGTGTGTGTGTTATATGACAATAGCATGTATGTGTATTTGCTTGGGTGGGGCTTGAGAAGTGGCTCTGCAGTTAAGAGTGATTACTGGTCTTCTGGAGGACACAGATTCAGTTCTCACCACCCACATCAGGTAGCTCACAACTTCCTGTATCTCTAACTCCAGGGAACCTGCTGTCTTCTTCTAGCTTCTGCACACACCCATGTATATATGTGCATGCAAAAAAAAATTTCTGTTTTTTAAAAATATATATCACCTGAGTATAGTGGCTCCCACCTGTCATCCCAGCACTTGGGAGGCCCAAGCAGGAGGATCGTTATGGATTTGAGGCTAGCCTGAGATACATATAGTGAGTTCCAGGCTATCCTGTTACAGAGTAAAACTTTATCTCACTAAACAGAACCAAGCAAGGTCCACCCAAACACAAAGTCCTGAAATGAGTTATACAAAACCAATAAACAAACAATCATGTTCTTGGAGAGCTTCCCATGTCAGATACACAGAACTACCTTTTTGGTCTTTTTGAGACAGGGTTTTTTCTACGTAGTCACATGTAGTCACCTGTTGCTCACTCTGTAGACCAGGCTGACCTCAAACTCAGAGATCCTTCTGCCTCTGCCTTCAGAGTGCTGGGACTTTTTTCTTTTTTTGAAACAGGTTCTCTGTAGTTTTGGAGCCTGTCCTGGAACTAGCTCTTGTAGACCAGGCTGTCCTCAAACTCGCAAATATCTGCCTGTCTCTGCCTCCCAAGTGCTGGGATTTAAGGCGTGCACCACCACCACCTGCCTATCTTTTATGTATTTTAATAATTATTTAAATAAAAAATATATTGACTTGTTGTGTACGTATGTATGGACATACATGTGTGTGTAAGTACGTGTGCTTGTAGAGGTCAGAGGAGAACTCTGGAATTGGTTCTCTCCTTCCATCTTTGCATGGGTTCTAGGAATCAAACTCAGGTCACCAGGTTCCTAGTTTGCTTCCTATTGTTGTGACAAGGACCATGACCAACTTGAGGAGCTCCTTCAGGAGGACGTGGCTTACAGGTCAGTCTCCTGAGAGTTAGGATTAAGGTATGCTACCACTCTGGGCTTGAGATTCTTCTGAGAGACAACTTCTACTGAGGTGACAGTGTGAGGCTGAGGCCATTGGTTCACCTAACCTATTATGACTGCTGTCCTATTAAAAGGGTAAATCTGGCACAGAGCCCAACAGAGAGAGATCATGTGAGCAGATACATGGAGGAATCAGCCATGTACAAGCCAAAAAGAAAGGCCTGGAACCCACCCTATCCCGTGCATGGTCTGACAGCTGACTGATCACTCCTGAGCGATACACTCCTGTCCTTTGCTTCAGATTTCTGGCTGTCCAGTAGCTCTGGAGAGAAATCAAATACTCTGCACAGACAGTGTGCCAACAAGACCCCCTGTGCACAGAAACTGGACAGTTTGTGCCCGGTTCAAAAAGCAAGCATAGATTAGAAATAGAATGTAGCTATTGTGCCCCAGGCTACTCTTGCACTTGCACAGCCAAGACTGGCCCTGAATTCATGACCCTCCTACCTCCACTTTCTAAGTCCTGGAATTACAGATGTGCACCACCCTGCCCAGCTTGTCATCTGGAGCAGTACCCCAGAACTCACAGCAGTGAGATACAGCTTCCTTCCTGGGCCCAGAGGCTGAAGAGTGCAGCTCCAATCACAGACGGAGTCTCGGTGTCAGCTGCTACACTTGTAGCACCTGCCTGAGAGAAGGGCTTCGTAAGGAGGACAGATTCCGTTTGGATTGCAGTTTCAGAGATTTTTGGCCCTGTTCCTTAGGACATGTGGTGGCATAGGATGTTATGACATAAGCACTCTGCTCACCTCACGGCCACTGGGAAACAGAGAAAAACACAAGACGGGACTGGGGTCCCATCGTCCCCCTTAAAGGCACATCCCTTAACTCCCTCCCACCAGGCTTCGTCTTGCAAAAGCTCTAAGCTTCCCAGCAGTTCCAGGCTGGAGACTGAACTGTCAACACCAGAGCACTTGGATGGTATTCTGGATCGAAAACCCCAGCAGCCGCTACACGGGGAGGGCTGTGTGCCAACAGTGTTGGCTTTTGGCAGGCAAGGCAGCCAGCCCTCGGTGACCTGGCAATGTTCCTGCCCTTCAGGCCACCAACACGACTTCCCACTGGCTGAACCCAAATGGAAGGCAAAGAGCAGGAGAGCAGGTGATGCCGATTGCAGCTGTCAATCACAGGACAGGTGGCAAGCACCATCTAGGGTAAGCGGACTCTCGGGCAGAGTCCTGAAGGCCTTCGGCGGTGGTGGCGTGGTGGTAGGCAGGTGCTTATCCCCACCACTTCCTGGGGTATCATGCGCTTTCTTTCTGCTGCATTAGCCTTCACTGAATCTTCAGCCCAAACCCCGTGTTCCCATCGGCACCAGGGCCCCTGCACCTGCTACTCCTGCCGCTTGAATAAAACTCCCTGTTTTGTTAATTCAGTTCTTAACTATGCTACAACCTACTTAAGAAAACAATGTCCCTGGTCAAATTAGTGGTGCTAGCATGGCCTTTCACAGCGCTCTGTAGCTTATTCTCAACTTCATATGTTTATGTGATTTGTTCATGGGTTGGTTCTTGCTTTTGAGATAGGCTTTTATATAGCCAGGCCAGCCCAGGACTCCCTAGCTTGTCCAGGATTACCTTGAACTTCTGATCTGCTGGCTTCCAACCTTCTAAGTGTTAGGGTTGCCACACTAGTTGTACGTGTGCTAAGGATCAAACCTGGGGTTTTGTGTATAGGAGGCAAGTACTCTATCAACTGTAGCGAGCTGCATGGAATCTCACCTGATGGAGATGTATAATCAACTCCTGAGATGGCTGAGGCCTGACCTGTGCTATGATCACGCAATGATCATCAGCTGCTTGCATATGCGTGGGCCTATGGGCAGTGCCCACCTGGCAATCCGAGATTGGCAGACCATGCCTACTTAAGGGCTGGGAGAGGGTTTGCCCAGGGGGAAAAGAGAGAGAGAGGTTTGCCCGAGGAGAGAGGAGAAAGAGAGAGAGGCCAAAGGGAGAGAGGGAAAAAAGGAAAGCAAGGAGATAGAGGAGAGAGAGGAAAGAGAGAGAGGGGAAGAGAGAGAGAAAGTGAATTAAGTCCTGGAATAAACTGCAGTGAGAAGAGCTCCGGTGGTTGCGTCATCCTTGCTGGACGAGGGTGGCCGTGACAATCAACTAAGTTACACCCTCAGCTTTTGAGTGATATTTTTGTTGTTGCTGCTGTTGGCCTTGCCCATGTCTGTCTTCCTGCTAGATGATGATAGACATGAGGCTAGAGACCATGTTTGATTTTGCTCAGCAACTTGGTCACAGAATCTGCTTGCTAAAGAAATGCATAAGGATGGGGCTGGAGAGATGACTAGTGGTTAAGAACATTGGTTGCATCCCAGCACTCGGGAGGCAGAGGCAGGCGGATCTCTGTGAGTTCGAGACCAGCCTGGTCTACAAGAGCTAGTTCTAGGACCGGCTCCAAAACCACAGAGAAACCCTGTCTCAAAAAACAAACAAACAAACAAACAAAAAACCAAACAAGAACATTGGCTGCTCTTCAGAGGATCAGGGTTCAATTCCTAGCACCCACACGGCAGTTTGCAGTCATCTGTAAACTCCACTTCCAAAGGAGATGGAGGAAGGTAATTAGTTAATTATAATAAACCAACTGCTTGGCCTCATAGCTTAGAACATAGGTAGGTGGAATAAACAGAGTAGGATGCTGGGCGGAAGAGGAAGTGAGGTCAGATTCTGCTCTGCTCCCAGAGAGACCCGACAGCTCTGCACTCTGGAGCAGGGACACCATGCTCAGCTCTGCCGGATAGACGCAATAGCTCTGCGCTCTGAGGCAGATGCATGAAGCTCAGACACACGATGGACGGAGGCTAGAATCTTCCCGGTAAGCGCACCTTGGGGTGCTTACACACATCATTAGAAACGGGCTAGTCCAGGTGCGAGAATTGGCCTGTAAGGGCTAGAGTTCATGGGCCAAGCAGTTCTTTAAATGAATACAGTTTGTGTGTTGTTATTTTGGGCATGAGCTAGCCAAGCGGCCGGGGTGTTGGGGACGCAGCCCCGCCGCTTCATATTTCAACACAAAGGATCTGACACCCTCACACAGACATATGTGCGAGCAAAACACCAACCAGTGCTCATAAAATAAAAATAAATAAATTATTAAAAAGAAAATGCTTGAGCGGTTGAGGCGATGGCTCAGTGGGTAGCCTCTGCCACGCAGGCGTGAGGATCTGAGTTTGGAGTCTCAGAACCAGGATTTTAATGGGGCAGAATGCTGTACATCTTATAATTCTCGCACTTGGGAGACAGAAACAGGAGACTCCCTGGATCTCACTGACAAGTAAGTCTAGCTGAACTGGCTAGCTGTGGGTTTAGTAAGATGTTGAAATATGGAGCGGCGGGGCTGCGTCCCCAACACCCCGGCTGCTTGGCTAGCTTATGCCCGAAATAATAACACACAAACTGTATTCATTTAAGAACTGCTTGGCCCATGAACTCTAGCCCTTACAGGCTAATTCTCGCACCTGGACTAGCCCATTTCTAATAATGTGTGTAAGCACCCAAAGGTGCGCTTACCGGGAAGATTCTAGCCTAAGTCTATCGTGGGTTGCAGCTGCCTGGGAGAGCAAAGCATGGCAGCTGTCCGGTCCCTCTGGAAGCAGCGCAGAGTCTGACCTCACTTCCTCTTCCGCCCAGCATTCTATTCTGTTTACTCCTCCCATCTATGTTCTAACCTATCAGGGCCAGCCAAGCAGTTTCTTTTATTGCTCAGCCAATGAAATCAACAGATTGATATGACACTCCCACATCAGTAAGAGAGCCTGCCTCAAAAGGTAGAGAAAGATAGAGAAAGGCATGCGGTGGGAACTTTGGGCCTCTGCTCACATGCTTGCACACTTACATGTGCATGGACATCTGGGTGCATAAGTATATACCCCCCCATTCTTATTGAATAAATGAGTGAATGAATCTTGTTTGTTTTTTTCCTTTTGCTTGTCTTAGTCATTGTTCTACTGCTGTGAAGAGACACCATGACAAAGGCAACCCTTATAAAAGAAAGCATTTAATTGGGGGCTTGCTTACAATTTCAGAGGTTTAATCCATTATCAACATGGCAGGAGCATGTGATGGACCAGCCTAACTCTACTTTAAGATTAAAAAAACCAGGGGCCTGGAGAGATTGCTCAGAGGTTAAGAGCACTGACTACTCTACCAAAGGTCTTGAGTTCCAATTCCCAGCAACCACATGGTGGCTCACAACCATCTATAATGAGATCTGATGCCCTCTTCTGGCATGCAAGCATACATGGAAGGAATGTTGTATATATAATAAATAAATAAATCTTAAAAAAAAAGATTAAAAAACCATCTTGTTACAAGGTCAACTATGTTCATTCCTGTCCTCTGTAAAGCCTGGGTTTGACCATGTCTTGACCCATTTTCTGGAACGCGTTCCACTCCTATACCCTAACCTCCACCCTGATAAGATGTTCTGCCAACAATTTTCAAATGTTCTGCCAAGTTCCTATGTAACCAAAAACCCTTGAAAACTCCCTAGCTTTGCAGTTTGGGGGCTAATATAAACCCCACCTTCTCCTAAGTTTTATGCTATTTTCTCAAACCCTGTCTTAGGGAGAGAGATAGCATGGTCTATTTGAAAATAAAGCTTGTACAATTTGACCAAAGAATTTGGGTGACTGTCTTTATTCTCATTGAGTGGGATTAACACACTGTGGCATTCGTGGCACTGTGGAATAGCAGAGAGCAACTTCTTGATCCAGTGATGGAGGGATGGGGGGTGGGGTGCAGAGTGTGGGAGAGAGAAGAGAGAGAAGAAGGGAGGGAAGAAGGGAGAGAGAGAGAGAGATTGACTAGGCCTGGCATGGGCTTTTGAAACCTCAAAGCTGACCCTTAGTAACAAACTTTCTCCCAGCTAGGCCACACCTCCTAATTCTTTTAAAATAGTGTCATTCCCTGATGACTAAGTATTCAAATATATGAACCTATGGGGGCCATTCTTATTCAAACCACCACGTTCCACTCCTTGACCCACATAAGCTTGTAGCCATATCATAATGCAAAAATGCATTCAGTTCAACTTCAAAAGTCCCCATAGTCCCAACACTGCACAAAAATCTGAAGTTCAAGTCTCTTCTGAGACTCATGGCAATCTCTTAACTGTAACCCCTGTAAAATCAAAGTCGAAAAGGAGATCATATACTTCCAACATGCAATGGCATAGAATATACCTTGCCAGTCCAAAAGCGAGGAAAGAGCACAGCGAAGAAGTACCAGGCCATGGGGTTTTGTTACAAGAGTCCACATAGTGGCTCACAACTCTCTGTAACGAGTTCCAGGGTATCTGACACTTTCTTCTGGCCTCCACAGGAGAACAGGCAAACAGCTGGCACACAGACATACATGCTGACAAAATACTCAGGAACAGAAAATAAGAATAAAATTCAGTGTGTGTATGTGCAGGTGCCCAAGGAAACCAAAGGCTCTGGGTCCCCCAGGAGCAGGATTTACAGGCATTTCTGAGTCACTCAATGTGGGTACTGGGACTCAAACTCTGAACTCAAGTCCTCTGGAAGGCCAACGCTCACTTTTTTGCTTGTTTGTTGTTTTTTTTTTTTTTAAATATTTATTTATTTATTTATTTAGTATACAATGTGTGTATGTCTGCAGGCCAGAAGAGGGCACCAGACCTCATTCCAGATGGTTGTGAGCCACCATGTGGTTGCTGGGAATTGAACTCAGGACCTTTGGAAGAGCAGGCAATGCTCTTAACCACTGAGCCATCTCTCCAGCCCTTAACCACTGAGCCATCTCTCCAGCCCTTAACCACTGAGCCATCTCTCCAGCCCTTGTTTGTTGTTTTGTTTTGTATTTCAGGACAGGGTTTCTTGGATAGCCGTGGCT